AGAGTCTCTGGGGACGCACCCAAAAAGGAGCAGTAACGCTGACATGTTGTATCGGGACGTGTCAGACCCAGAGAATTCAGCATGAATTGGGGACACTGTGGCTGCAGTGCCTGGCTCTGCTGCTTCGCTTCTTTCAAGTGGGACAAAGGTTATTGGTGGTTTGGTATAAAGCTGATGATATGTTTTATGATTCAAAACCATCATTTCGGTCTGATATCAGTATGTGAACTGCCATGCTATAATGTTGTTCCTTGGGTCTTTTTTTTTTTTTTTTTTTTTTAAGGAATTAATTTACACTGTGATATTTATAGAAAAAAAAATTTACAAGTGTCACCCAGGGAGCTGGAGCAAACCCCTGGATAGGGCAGCACAGACATTCCTCGAGAGCTCTGCTCTTGTGTCCTCTGCCTGCAAACGGAGCTGTTCTCCTGCTGATGAATTAAATTTGGGATGAAGATAGACCAATAGCAGGGTAATTATTGTCATTTTTAAATATACCTGGCACCAGTGCTATGGACTGACATTTTATATATATATATATGTGTGTGTGTGTGTGTGTGTGTGTATATATATATATATAGATATAAAATACCATCTGGTTTTATTCTGATTGAGAAACAGAAGCAAACACAAGAAGCAGGTTCATGCAATTGTCATTTTTAAATACATCTGGCACCAGTGCTATGGACTGACAATATATATATATGTGTGTGTATTTGTGTGTGTGTGTGTATTTGTGTGTGTGTGTGTATATATACACGTTATTCTCTAATATATATATTTCTATACTGGCCCTGTATACACACCTCCTGTCCAGCAGTATCATATATGCATGTCTATGCATATATATTTATGTATGTGTGTTATTAAAAAAGTGTGTCTGTATATAAATATAGGCATATATATGCGTGTGTGTACATATATATTATTCATGTATGTGTGTGTATCTGTGTGTGTGTATTTTTGTGTGTGTATTTTTGTGTGTGTATATATGTGTGTGTGTATATATATGTGTGTGTGTGTATATTTATATATATATAATATCATCTGGTTTTATTCTGATTGAGAAACAGAAGCAAACACAAGAAGCAGGTTGATGCAAGGCAAGGCTCCTGGTTTTTCTGGGCTGAGATCCATCACCCACAGCTGCAGTTGCTGCTCTCGCAGCAGTGAAATTGCCATTGCTACTACTCCAAGCTGGCAGCTAAGAGGGATTTTAGGGCTGTAGTTAAGGACAGTCCCACCCTACAAGCCACACACTTTCTTTGGCTGGAAATTGTGGGGTGACTTTGTCCTGGCTGCAGAGCTGAAGGAGGATGAACATGCCCAAAACTCCTCTGATTTCAGGTGTTCTGTAAAACCCGTTTTGATATTTAAGATTCTCCGACCTACCGTGCTTTCTAGGAGTTTGTACCTTGACACAAGTAGCAGAAATATTTCTTTCATCTGTTGGTGCCCAAATTTTGGCAGGTGGTCAGGAAGCTGTTTAACAACATATATTTTGAAGTCAGTATACGAGTGCTTATCTATCAAAATATCTTGTGAAAATGGGAAAAAAATCCAAAAAAAGTGTGCAGCAGGGCAGGGGAGAGCATTCAAAGCTAGAAAACATCTTTAGAAGGTTGAAACTGTCCCCAAATGGCATCCAGGTGATCGCTTGGCAGATAAAAAGGAGAATCACCATTGTGTGAGCTAAAAGAATCTAAGAAATAATTTGGGAAAAAAAGAAAAGAGAGGAGAGAAAAAAAAAAAGGATAACTGTTTTTTCAGCACCTGCAGCCTCCCCAGGGCCAGCTGGCAATGGGAGCTCATGTCCCAGGCTGGGGACAGCCCAAGACAAGAGCAATAACTGCAGATGCAGGTCCTGGTGTCCCTGCCCAAGCGCTGGAGGACACAGCGAGCCCCTGGTGCTGGCTGATGAGATGCTGCTTGGGGGTCCTCTCGGGTCTGGGGGGAGTTGTTGTTCAGGAGAGCAGAGCTCAGCCTGCAAAGGAACATGCTTTGAATCAGATCTTCCCTTAGATTTTGTTCATGTAAAATGTTTATAGAGAATTGGTCTTAATCCCAATTCAGACTGAAATGTTGGAAAATCACCTCTGGTTTGGGGTATTTTTTGGTTGGGTTTTTTTTTTTGTTGGGTTTTTTGTTGTTATTTTTTTATTGATTGGGTGTTTTTTTTTTCTTTGTCACTTCTAATTGCTCTTAATTTTCCCTCCCTGCTTGGAGTTCTGATTGTAGCTGAGTGTTTAAAACTGTGTGCAGGGCTGGGAATGTCTGCGCGTGCTCTGGGTGATGTGCAGTCAGCACAGGAGGAACCCAGGGCTGCTGCTGTATTATGTGCTCCTCGTTACCATCTCATTGCTAGTACTTTTAACAGGCAGACTGCAGAGTTATTATCCAGGGGTTACACTGATTGAGAGTTAATTTTGAGTTGTGAGAGCATTAGCGCTCGGCTGCTGCGTTCTGGTCTCGGTGTCTGGGTGAGGGTATGCAGAGGGGTGGGTGAGGATGCAGCTTAGGGGCTGGTCTCCTTGTGAAGCCTCCAGCTTCCAGGAGGAGGGTGAAAACATTTTCTACCAAAACTATTTTCTTTGCAAATGTTTATTTGTGAATGGCAAGGGCTGTAATTGCTGTTGGAGATCTGAGGAGGCGCTTGTTTATTTGGTTTTTCTAAAGGTATTTATTTTCCATTAGGAAGCTCAGCAGCTGTTTTTCCCTCAGTTTGCATCATGTTTATCCCCATCCCTGGGAGATACTCAGGCTGAGTCGGACAATCAGCGTGTGGGACGCTTGCTCAGATGCTGGCAGGTGTCTCCATCTGAGAATCAGCACTGACAAACCGTTCAGCTTCAAGCCTCAGGCATTGCCACCACATTGGCAGTTACACTGTCACTTGCATTCTCTCCTCTTCTATTTTAGTTGTTGAAAGGGAGAAAGAGACATCAACAGCCTTTTCCAGAACCAGCCATTGAGGTCTCCATGGCCCATCAGCCCGTGTTCTAGCAGGGGCTCCTCAACAGCTCTGTTGAAGTGAAATCCAATGTGCAAGCTCAGCTCCATCACAGAGGGGTGCACCTTGATGCTCTCCCTGGTTTTTAATTTGTACATCATTAGAAATAGCTTCTAGCAATACACTAGCTCAACCACCTCAAGGATCTAACTCCTTGACCATCAGATACAATAACTAGATTTGCTAGTTTTACAATAACTAGATTTGTCCAAGTGTGGAAATCACAGAATCACAGAATCAAATAACTTGGAAGAAATTTTTTTGAGAGGGAAAAAAAAAAAAAGGCAGAGAGAAACATTTATTCACTTTATTTAAAGTAGTAAAAATACAGAATAAATATTTTCTTCAAAATACATACATCTATAAAATGTAATATAATTTAATTGACACCATAGAAAGAAATTCACACTGATCTAAACACTCCTGTCATCACCATTCACTTCAGAAAAAAAACATTAAGTCTCTAAGTGGCACTTGCCTGGATCCTTACAAATCTTTAATTGCCAAATTGACACTGATCTACCAAAGCTGCAGGCAGAGGAAAAATCTCAGGACGTGTTTCTTGGTGAAAGATTTTGGGCAGAGTGCTGAGCACACTCAATCAAGGTGATGCTGTACGCGCGAGCGCGATGCTCTTGCGGTCCTTGCTGCCAAGTGATGCTCATAGATCCAGCAAAGCTGAGGCAGAGCCCGAGAGGTGGAATACTGTGTGAATATGAATTTTGCAGTTCATCCTCATCTGCCTTCAAAGCAGCAGCAAAGCCAGCTCTCTGCTAGAAAAAGTTTTGCTCCTATCATTATTAATCGATATAATTTATCTTTGATCAATTTGATCACTTGATAATTGATCCTCTTTCCTGTAGATGGTTATTATACAACGCTGAGATTTTTCCCAGTATGGCCACACCAGTTCCCTGAGCTAAATCACCTATTGCAGCAGCTTCAGTAGTGTCCTGGTTTCATGGTCTGTACTGGTTTCATGGTCTGTACTGGTTTCATGGTCTGTACAGAAGTTCTTGCTCTTCCAGACACGTTATAGAGAATTATACCCGTTCCGCTGAGGTGACGCGATACCGGCAAAACTTCCCAGC